GGCTATACGCGGAATTAACTGTAACTTTTCATTTTAGGGCATACAATTAAAAGATCAAATTTCAGGTAATAAAGTTCATTTTCTAAAATTGTTTTTTGTGTAATTGATTTGTAAAATGATCAAACTTTCCTTATAGAGAGATTGTTTCTTGTTAAAATCAGTCTTTCAATACAAAAAACACCAAAGAAGGGGTGTCTGGTTTCTTTTGACGCCAAGTATAGTAACAATGAGGTCAAAATGTGTGGCACAACTTGTCTTCAAGTTTTAACATCTTTTTAACGAGAGAAATAACGTCCACAATACTTTGCTCAGCACTTTGTATTAATTTGTCTTAACCTCATCCTATTTTCCACAACAATTGAGGTAAGAGTTTTACGGCACTTGCAACACAATAAGGTCATATAAGTGCAGAAGAATAGGCGTGTTACAAGAGAGTAACATACACAAAAAAAGAAAGAGGGGAGATAAGGACGACAGATGTTTGAGAGGAAAGAAGGAGCACACCACACCAGAGCACCCGCCAATCACCCACTCATGGGATGTAAACCTTTCAAAGTCTGTAGAAGTAGAAGTAGAATCGACCAACTGGGACTTTTTATTAGGGTTTCGAGGGATTTTGGAGAATAAAGCTAACAAGTCTTTACAACTATATGTGAGGCAGCGTGGTGGAATAAGGCTCTTGTCAAAATAATCAAAGCGAAGAAACTTGCATTTATCCGCAGGTTTTTACATTTTTATCAAATTTTTCATTTTTGCATCAACACCTTTCATGCCCTTTAAAAAACTCATTTCTGGGTGGATTTGTTGAAAAACGTTGATTAAAGGCACAACAATTGTAAATTTTCAGTTACCACGGACTCTTAAGCTAAGGAAACAACTACTCTTTGGCGGCCATTTTCTCACTAATTTTACGTCTGAAAGCAGGTGAACCCCACCTAATTCATTCGTATATATCTCGACTTGTATTCAAGATAAATTGGGTTTTTTTCTTCCAAATAAAGACAAGTGAACAAGCTTTAAGATGATACCAATAACTCTACATGCCCAAATATTGACGAGAGCCTGATTCCACCACGAAGCATCACATTTTGATCTGTTAAGACAACTTTGTGCAAGTCATTGCAATGGGTCGAATCTGGAGAGTCTATGTTCGATTCTCGAGGAAATAATTGACAAAAGTTGCTCCACGATTAGACCGCATTATAGACGGAAGATACGCAGTCATGAACCAGGACTGGCCCGAAAACCGCGAGATATTGGCTGTCTATTGAAGTTGACCTGACGCATCACGATTCGTAACTTTCGTCCCTAGTTCTGTCGGAAAATTGAGTGAACAATCCTTACTGGTGAAGTTGTCGAAGTCTTCAAAGGTTGATATTTTTTTTTCTTGAGTCTTGAGCTACTTCTCTCAAACATCTTGACCAGATCCGAGATAGAAAAGCAGAACCAACCAATGGCATAGCAAAGCGGTTCATGAAAACCAAGTGCTGCCAGTCGGTGATACATTTCTGCTCCAAGAACTAGGGGGAAAAGTGGACAATTTTGAGGGCAAGAGTCAGCGCTAAACAAAACAAAAAACAAACAAACAACAAAACAAATCTGTTGTTTCATTTGTCGCTGTCGGTGTGTGGCGTTGGTGACCTAGTGGTTAGGCTACCGGACTCGTAATCGTGAGGTTGTCGGTGACCTAGTGGTTAGTGTCGGTGGTCTAGTGGTTAGTGTCGGTGGTCTAGTGGTTAGTGTCGGTGGTCTAGTGGTTAGTGTCGGTGGCCTAGTGGTTAGTGTCGGTGGTCTAGTGGTTAGTGTCGGTGGT